TGTTAATTATTAACAGTATCACACACTATATATATTCTACAAAATAGCTTAACGTTGAAGGTTTGGTGGTGAGTCACTGCCTGCCATGTTTGAGAGAACATCTGTTCCCATCTCGCGTTCATATGGCAGCTTTGAGGAATATTAAGGTCATATCGTTGTGTACAATTATATGATAAAATATGGTTTTACATGCACATCATCATGCTTCTGAATAACGAAAAAGGATGCATCTGTCAAACGGAAATGTATATTAATATGCATGCTGAAATATGCCTGTGACATTTACCCTGCTTAATGATTAGAGGTACTTGTATACGGTTCCCTCATCTCGTGCATCACTTGTGCAATGTATGTTCCCTTTTACAGCTGTACCTTCAGGTTGTGGTTTATATCATGTTACTCAGATGTTGGTTAATATCTTTCGCATAGAGTGAAGAGCGATATATGGAAATACTACAATAGATTAAACGAATAATATATATTTTTTGTGGTACATTATGAGAGAAAATGTTTCCGGAAGTACATCTTTCCATTAGTGAAAAAAAAAAAATAATAATAATAATATTTATCTTTGTTGTTTCTAACAGTACACCAGCACAGAAAACGATTCTTACAGTACACGAGTAGTGAAAATGTTCCTTGCAACACATCAGTAAATCGTTCATACCGTACAATACTCCCCAGTACTTGGCATCAATTTAGGAACCATTTACCACTCTAAAAGAATGGCGTGTGCTAACCGATGTCTCTTTCCCCCCCACAGGGTTTGTTTGCACGCCACCCTGCCCATCAACACCCTATCATCTTCCTGAAAGATGTTAGCGGGGATGAGTGCGAGGCGTTGCTTACCTATATGTACCGCGGGGAGGTGTCCGTCAGCCATGATCAGATTCAACGCATCCTCCGCGTCGCAAACTCACTTCAGGTAAAGAAAAAAAAGAGTATAAGTAAAGGAAAAAAGGAAAAAGTAAAGTAAAGGAAAAAAGGGAAAAGTAAAGTAATGGAAAAAAAAGAAAAGGTAAAGTAAATGAACTGTATTTTAATAAGTGTTTGAAGCGTAAAAAAAGTGGAGTGATATGATTTAGATGGCGGATGTAAGGGAGGTGTTGTAGGTGCAGAGATATAGTTTAGATGAAAAGGGTAATGAAAGTTATTATTGAATAAGGCTGAAACTATGTTTATAGGAAGAATTATAAAAATAACAAATTAAGGGTAAAGCCATTTGTATAAAACGTGGTGTAAATGGATATTGAATAGATTATGAATAAAAAGGTACGATTGTAGATATAGAAACCATAGTAAGTTATAGATTTTAAATAATGTGTTTGCTTTTTGTGTGTATTACATTTGGTGTTATATGTATATATATATATATATATATATATATATATATATATATATATATATATATATATATATACATACATAGATAGATATGTATATGAATATTTTTTTCTTTATTTATTGGGGGTGGGGGAAACTATATGCTAGCAAGCACGCACATGAAGCATGTGCGATGTCTTTTTCAAGTTAGTCATGAACCCTTGTATAGTTTTAATGAATTGCTATTCTAAAGAATCAGATTTCTCCATTAGAATATATGATATCACAGAAGGATATTTATTATTAATCAGATATAATGCCCATAATGGACAGCCGGGGAAAAGGATTTCCATAATCACTTTACCTGATGTAATGTAACGTCATATGATGAAAAGGAAAAACATGAAGGGATTTTCATTAGTTATTGTATTGCTAGGGATTATAACGTCATTTGTCAGCATTAGATTTTTCCATCAGGAGTATTATTTTTCTTTCAATTATAATACCAGTTTTCGAGTCACCGAATCATGAAATTTGAAGCTAGAGAGAATGAAACGGACGATTTTTTTTTATACACTCTTATTTCCTACCACAAGAATGGACTCGGATAGCTTTCCTTTGCCAAGAAAGATAGGTGATTTTTTTTTTTATATATATATACATATGTATCTCTAACTATCACGAACAAAGATTGAAATGGCTGTTTCTTCCGAAGTCAAAAGGACATTTTTTATATCGCACGGAAAAGAATGAAATGGATTCTCCTTTCAATTTAGAAGGGCGAGTTGCCTTTATAATTGTATTTTTCCAGTTCACAAGAGCAAAGACTGAAGTGGCTCTTCCTTTCAGGTCCGGGGGCTTGCGGACTTGGAGCCAACAAATTCCCGGCCATCCTCTCCTGTAGGGGATCAGGGAGGTCAATGTGCCTCATCCTCCCCTTCCCCCAGCACTGGCCCCCCCACCAAATGTGCCACCCCAATTAGCGAACCCCACTCCCCCAACCCCCCGCCCTTGGTGAACCCCAAACTGCCGCCCTTGGGAGGCACTTCGACCCACTCCCGGCTGCCCAGTCACCCCAGCGCCCCAGACCCCCCGCCTCCTCGACACCCCTCGGTGGAGGCCTCGGCGTTGGCAGCGGCAGTAGCAGTGGCCACGAGACCCCCAGGCCCCCAGCACCCTCACATGCCGCCGGAGTACCACCCATACCCCATGCTACCCCATCGGCCGCCATACGATCTCTCATCAGCACCCAGCTCTTCGCTCTTGGCCGTCAGTGAGGCAGATGTGAACAGATCGGAAGAACACAATAAATGCCAAAGTGCTTTGCCAAGATCGCCCTACCAGTCGCAGTTGGTAAGAACCTTTCCCCCCTTTTATGTTGTTGACAAAATAGCAATTTAAGCTGTATAATATGCGTAACGTACTACTAACTCACATAACAGTGCAAGTGCAGAATTTTGACCTCAATCAGAATCAGTAATTGACACTAAGACCTTATACATTTATCTATGATTATAGTAAGTTAAACAAAAATGAAGGACATACTTAGAATGTATGCATGTATACATATATATGATTAAGGAATATTGGATCCAAATTTCCCATCTCTATTATCATATAAATAATATTATTTTCTGTAAGACCAGTTAAATTAATATTTGTCTTTGCTAGGCCTGAAGACAGTATTAAAGCATTAGTATAATCAACATATTCAGTAATAATGATTTAATGTTAATGATAATAATGATAATGACAAGAATAATAACAATGTTAATAATGATAATAATGATAAGAATAATAACAATGTTAATAATAATGATAATGACAAGAATAATAATAATGTTAATAATGATAATAATGATAAGAATAATAACAATATTAATAATAATGATAATGACAAGAACAATGATAATGTTAATAATAATAATAATGATAAGAATAATAACAATGGTAATAATAATTATAATGATAAGAATAATAACAATGTTGATAATAATGATAATGATAATAATAATAGGAGTTTATAATAACATAATGATGATAATAATGACAAATAATAATTATAGGAGTTAATGACAACTGTAATAATGATAATAATGATAAATGTAAATAAGAGTACATCATGATAATAGAGCATGATGGTGTTTGGATCAGAAATATGAGAGCAATTTGCTGCTGCAGCGTGTGAAGCAAGACTTGGGAGGCAACAGTTGGGATGCTTCTGTAGCAGTCGGGGATGTGTCACCACTGTCGTTGAGTGATGCTCCTCGGCACCCTTACCTCCCCCCTGCAATCTTCAACTTCCTGGGGCATGAAGGGCACCCGACTGCAAGTTCCCAACCATATGGGGTATGTATATAAGTCTTGCTGAAGGAGGAGATTCGGTAGCACGGATTTAGGGAAGGGATTGTGTGAGGAAGGATTCAGGATTCACAGTCCCTTCCCTGAATGCCTCCCCCTACATTGTCCCTTTCCCTAAATCCCTCCTCACACTATACCCGAGGAGGGATTCGAAGAAGGGATAGTGTGAGACGTTCAGTGCATGTGATCTTATTTTTGGTGAGGAATTTGACAAAGGTCTTTTAAAGGCCTTTTAGATTCACTCAAATAAACTGGAAATAAATGAATTGCCTGCATAAGATCACATTCAATTTTGAAAGAGCATATATTGGAAAAGTTTATCTTAATATGTAATATCATTAATCATAGTATATAGTACACAATCTCACAGTAAATGAAAATAAAAGGAAGAATATGCAGGAGTGACTTTGGCTAAAAGATTTTATCACAGGTATTATTTCTTTGGGCCCTACAGAGAATGTTCCCAATAAGTGACCCTTTACGAAGGCTGGAGAGACTGAATACACCAGGTAGTGAGACACGCATTCATAAGTGTCAGTATTGTTCACGCAAATTCAAAAGGAAGGACCATCTAAAGACTCACATCAGGATCCACACAGGAGAAAGACCTTACAAGTGTAAAATTTGTGGCAGGGGGTTTATCCAGAGCCAACAGGTTAGTGATTTGCTCGTGTTTGCTTTTCTGACATTCACATTTTAAGATAATCTTGTTTTATCATGTAACTGATGACGCTAAATCAGAGCTCCTTGTTTTTTTCATTAGTAAGTATAAAGAAAGATTAATAAGTAATGAGGAAACAACTATAATGACGTGACATGTTTTAAACTTGAAATACTCCGATAATCAGATATGATGGACAGATAACAGTAAATGTATTTTCATATGCTGAACTTAAAATGCTTCGGTTTCACATCACACAAAAAAGAAATGAAAATGACCTAGGAGTTAGTTAATATTATGGCCCTGTTACTTTGGCAATTTTTGGTATAAACTCAGAAAACAAAAACAGTAATAAGCTTAGGCTGAATATGTCAAGTGCAATGAAATATTTAATTAATTTTACTTTATGATATATTGAGAAATGCCTTGTAGAACAAAAGGTTCCATATGAAGCTGTAATGTAAAAGCTATTGAGTATGTATAAGATGCTTTATGTACAGTGAATATATAATTTAGAAGACGTAAATTACGTAAATCCTCAGCTTTAATAGAATAGCCCATATAAAGTTTGAATAGATACTTCACAAAAGATTAGAAAATAAGGATATAAGGTTCAGAGTACAGTGTTATCTGAAGCCTCTGATTTATCTTTCAGGTGAAAATCCACATGAAAGTACATGTCCGAGAGGATGTATCAGGCGTTGGAGCATCGTCAGGGCTGGGGGCTGGTGGGGGCGGGGGTAGCAGCCTTCCTGCCCTATACCCAGATTTGGTAGGACACTATAGTGACCAGCAGGGCTCAGGTGGCCCCCACAATGACCCCCACACAGACTTGGATCAGTCCACGGAAAATAATCCCCCGGAGCCCGATTCGGAAAATGAGTGCAGTTCGGAGATGGCTGAAGTGGACTATGAGATGCGGCTGCAGCAGCAGGAGGGAGCGAGTGGGGGTCCGGGGCGAACCCCCCCAACATCCAACCCCTCATCTGTGGGGCTGCGTGAGCACAAGACCCCGTCCCCACAGTCCCCCCCTGGGGCTGTGTCAAGGAGCCACCCAACTCCCCCAGATGACCAGAGCTGCAGTGCCATGTCTCTGAAGGAATCATATCATATAGGTAGCAATATAAAAAAATGATGGCTAATGTGCTGTGATGATAGAGGCTTTAATTAAGTAACTGTTGGTTATACTAATTGTTTTGTTGCCAATATGCATTTCCACACCATCAGAAAAAATTCCGGCTTCAATGTTAATTCCTTAAAAAGCATATCGATGGCAGGAATGATACAATAGCAACGGCTCAACTGGACAGACAGCTTACCATTACAACCCCATGTTCAATACCATTTTACTGCAATAATACCATAGTTGGAGTGTTTGCCTAACAGACTTCATATATCCCCAAGCTATTGTTATGTCAATAATCAAGTGAAAAGTACCAGTGTGTGATAAAACATGCACGAAGGTCTGTCATCTGTTTGTAGGAGGATTTTTTTTCTACCTAAACTAGGTACTCAAACCTGGACTCGTGCGTGCAATATGTAATTACACTGGAATGCTGGGAGGTATGGAGACTTTTGAGGGTAAACTCAGCCCATGGGTTTTACTCCATTTTTAAAAAATTCTTTATTCCTATATTTTCAGTCCTCATTTCAGTTTTTTTTTTTCTTATTTTTTGTTTTAGATATTTTTGTTATTATTATTATTTTTGTTTTTAATTTTTTGGCAAATGGAATGCTCCCAATTTCTTTTACGCCATAATTTATGTGTTGGACATGCTCATAGAGTCATCAAGTGCTTCTCACAGATAGTTTTTATATTGAGAAGACCAAACTCCCCAAGTTTAGATAACATACTGTAAGATTATTTGTTTAATCCAGATGTTTCCAAATTAGAACTATCATATAGTTTTTCTTTAGTCAATAGTCAAGAATTATGTATTTATGTTATGCTTTCACAGGGTGTGTTGTGTTGCTCACTGGCACTTACAGTTAATAAACTGTGCCACAATCGACAAGTATTAAGACCAAAGACAGTACAAGTTGATGGCTCATAATTTTTTCTGCTCATGAAGGAAAAAAAGCATGGGACCATGTTAAGTGTGCTACTCTGGGCCTTAATGACAAGTAGATTTTGTGGCCTGCAGAAAGACTAAATTCCGCACAGCTCCCAATCATGCTTTCTTTTTTCTTTCACAGCTTCAGCCTTGGATTCACAGTCCAGTAAACTAGGGATTATCATTAGCAGTTGTTATTATGGTTACAACCTTTCCACACTCATTACCTGTTATTATACGAAGGGAGTTTGGTTCATCAGTGAGATCTCATATTAGGGAGTAGAAGAGATGCGAACCCAGTGCCACCTTTTTGTTGGTTCTTATAAGTGATGTTATAGTACTAGCTATTTTAATTTTAATAATTATTTGCCAAGTTAGGAGGATAGAAAAAAACTTCACCAAAGAAGTTGTATTTTAATGTTTGGACTTTCTTAAGGTAAGGCAGGTTCATCAGTTTTTCTTTTCATTCCCTTTTCTGCTACAAAGCCAAGTTAGGGGTGAGGCTTATTTTGTACACTTTTTTCTTTTGTAAGTGAGTGATGCTTTGATGGAGGGGCTTGTTTGTTGCTTGTTTTTTTTTTCTTTTTCTTTTCTTTTTCTTTTTTTTTTATATGAGGGAAAGGGTGGGTATGATCTTATGGATTATAGAGTTAACTTTTGTATATGGGATGTCACGTTTATAAATACTGTTAAGCAAAACAATATCTTGAAGAATACAGACCAAATTACATATCATTACAATATATATGTGAATACATGCTACATATCATACTTCATATCCAAATTGAAATGCAAGACATATCATAAAATCTTGTATCTTTTTTATAATTATCAGTAGTTGCCATATCTTTGTTGACAAATGATGCCTATGATATGTATATGATACTTCAAACTGGCCTTTGTCAATAGTGACCCATTTAATTAGACTAAGAAATTTCCTCTTTTATTCCATGATAGGGAGATAGTTCAAATGTTTTGTCACAAACCTGTGTTTGTATCAGTGTGATACAGTATACAGTAGGACATGTTCACCAAACTTATTATAAAGACATACCTGCTAATGTTGACATAAATTAATCTAGAGAAAGCCCCATGAGAGTACCTTAAATTGTGATGTGTATTTTCTATTATTTTCATTTTTATATGTGACGGCAAAATCTGCTATGGTGAGCATTTGAACTGGTTTGATAAGGCTTCATTTCCTCTTCACAACAATATGGAAACAGGTCTTACTGAAGCAACACTTAATGCTCAATGTCTTCTGTTGGTCGTAGTTTAGGAGGATAGAAAAAAACTTCACCAAAGAAGTTGTATTTTAATGTTTGGACTTTCTTAAGGTAAGGCAGGTTCATCAGTTTTTCTTTTCATTCCCTTTTCTGCTACAAAGCCAAGTTAGGGGTGAGGCTTATTTTGTACACTTTTTTCTTTTGTAAGTGAGTGATGCTTTGATGGAGGGGCTTGTTTGTTGCTTGTTTTTTTTTTCTTTTTCTTTTCTTTTTCTTTTTTTTTATATGAGGGAAAGGGTGGGTATGATCTTATGGATTATAGAGTTAACTTTTGTATATGGGATGTCACGTTTATAAATACTGTTAAGCAAAACAATATCTTGAAGAATACAGACCAAATTACATATCATTACAATATATATGTGAATACATGCTACATATCATACTTCATATCCAAATTGAAATGCAAGACATATCATAAAATCTTGTATCTTTTTTATAATTATCAGTAGTTGCCATATCTTTGTTGACAAATGATGCCTATGATATGTATATGATACAAGTAGGACATGTTCACCAAACTTATTATAAAGACATACCTGCTAATGTTGACATAAATTAATCTAGAGAAAGCCCCATGAGAGTACCTTAAATTGTGATGTGTATTTTCTATTATTTTCATTTTTATATGTGACGGCAAAATCTGCTATGGTGAGCATTTGAACTGGTTTGATAAGGCTTCATTTCCTCTTCACAACAATATGGAAACAGGTCTTACTGAAGCAACACTTAATGCTCAATGTCTTCTGTTGCGTAGTGATATATTGGCATTATATAAATCTGTGAGTGAATTCAGAATGTATTGAGCCTCACCCCTTGAGCTGTGCCTGCCAACCATCCCCATGAACAAGAGGGCTACAGTCGCGTTACGTACCCATTGGTCGCATTCCTTCCCATGGCTGTGGAACTTATGTATGGTATTGCTGTAGTGATTCCTCACTTGCTCTTTCTCTCTCTTTCCAATCTCTTTGCAGTGATTGACCGTAAATAAAATTGACATAGACCCAGATGGTAATGTAGCCTCTGGTAACATGGCATCGTTGGCAGGCAAACTCTTGTTAATGTTGATATTGGTCCGGGCTGTGATTTAGTGTATGCAAGCGCAGGAGACGGTTAGCTAGGTAAAATGATGCAACAAAGATTGTCTGGTGGGCAGAACGCTCAGAGGAGACAGAACTGCTTCACTCACCATGTATACGATTGGAACCCCCATGGCAGGGACCACAGGGCTTCCTCCTCGGGGCTTCAGTAAAAATGACAGTGTTATCGTCAGGTATATTATGTATGCTCAGTACACTCCATCTCTGCAGTTTACCTTAGGAAAGTACAATAACTGACAAAGTGTTTTAAATATTAAAGATATATAGTACCGTAGCAAATACAGAGATCAATAGCTTAAAAAGTAAGACTTCAGACATCCATTTTAACAGTATACAAATCAGGTGGTCTTTATCAATGTCATTATTATTCAAGTTCAGTGGAAGCCCTGTGCATACTTGAGGCTGACGGCACAAGCTATGTAAAGTTTCACCTTTCTAACATTTGTGGTTTTTACATAATGTTGATATTTGCATTGCTTAAAGTGTGAGCACATGTTTGTGTTGAATAATGTCCTGTGCAGGTGTGAGGGCCGCCTGTGTTGTGGGTGCAGCGGCCAGTTTGACTCTGCCCTGGGGGTCTCAATGCCCGCCTTCTGGCTACAGGGTCAGGGGTAGTTTTACCTGTATAAATATCAAGACATTGTTAGCTTATATGCTGTTAATGTTGACCTTGATGTAAGACCTATGTTATTTGTACCATTATCTGTGTAAATGATTGTTATGACAAGTAGGTGGCTGTACTAAGATGTGATATGCCATTGGCATAAGGGCAAACTTTGCTCACAACTGTAGCTTCCAGCTGCACAATAAGTATGAATTAGACTGCAAGATTAGATAATGCACAAAGCAGTGTTAAGATTGAAGTTTGTTAGCCAAAGGCAAGGCATGCATGCCTTCATTTAGAAAGCTTTTAACTACTTGTTACTGGCTTATAACTGTCAGAGTTAGTCCAGAAAAAATGAGACTTCATAGACCTAAATTAATGGTTGGGAAATAATCCTAATCATATCTCTGGCTTAAAGCAAGATGTGTGACCTGCAGATGAAAAGTTTCATACTTACTATGATCTCTTCATGTGCTTTGTCAGCATTCTCTGGCACTGCTTTGACAGTGTCTGATTTTACCAATCCAACTCTGCTCACAACTTTAAATTCTTCCACAATGATGTCTCATAATAACTGACTGAATAAGTTTTTGTAATGGAAATGAACAACGAAGAATGAGCTTATCGTGTAGCTGGCAGCTGTGCTCTTAGCTGTGGCGCTGAGACAGCTACAATGTGTTCAGTTCTGCTTTCAAAGAGTTGGTATCCTAACCAGGCAGCACTGCCGGTTATTTCACGGCTGCCCACATAAGACGTTGCCCTGGTTGATGTAGTACCCACACACTACATCCTTATATGGAGTAGAGCAGATTTTCCCAATAGGAATATTTTATATATGTAGATTTTCATGCACGAGCACATTCTCTGTACCACTGAGCTTCCTTTTAGGTTAAGGTAACCTTAGTCATGTTACTTTTCTAAAGGACTGTTTTTTATGTTTTTTTCCCAAATCAGTTATCATTAGAAGAATGATAAAGGATGAAGAAATGTAAATTGCCAACTGATTCTCAGAATTAGTTCATACATTAACAAAATATCAGCAATTTAAATATGGTATGGGGTTATTTACCTAACTGTAGATATCATAAATATAAGTAAGTAATTTGAAAAGCTTTATAGCCATGTGGTAAATTCCTACCAGAGCAGTCATGTGTGGGCAGCCAGGGCTCATTTTAATAGTGTTTCCACAACATATCAGATATGATCCCTCCTTTTAAACTGCCATCATTTGTAGTTGTTACTCTATGATCCGTTTTCCTTGTAGATGATAGACAGGTAGGACACGGGCGGGCCGCTTGTCTCCACGTTGCTCGGCTAAGCTGGTGGTTTGGGAGATCAGGATCATAGTGCATTCCTTACCTTGTAATTTTCGTTGAACTATGTCAGGCACTGTGAGTATAAAGGAAATAGTGCAGTAACGATTCTTTGTATTTGAAGATTTGTGAAAGATCGCCTCAGGATCTTGTCCCAAGACATCTCGTTGAAAGAGAAAACCAAAGTTAGGGCCATTCTTTGTTGATCAGAGTTTAGAAATCCCAAGTTGCCAGCTAGAATACCAAGTTTGGTAATGTGACTGTGGTATACTGCGGCCCGGGCCAGAAAGGCGGCTCTTTGCTGCTGTATTCGCTGGTAGCTCCGTTTGTATCAGTGCGACTAACTGGAGGCGATGGATTTGGCCTGTGATTATTACTGAACAATTCACTTATTAGTATTTGTTCTAGTCATTGTCAAATTGGATTACTATTTATATGATGGATTTCATTCCAAAAAGAGAAATTTGTAATTGGGGATATTTTGTACTGTATGTGGTGTAACCATGTAAATTGACAAATCTTCCTCTTGAACATATACTGGTGGCAAGGGGTCCCCTGGTTGCACTGGCTTCTTCTAGAGTGATTCTCCCCTGGTAAACAAACACTGCTGTCCACACTCTCCTTCTGATCAGTGGGCGAAATATTGCCACTTACCTTTATGTTACCTGTAGTGAAAGACTTCTGGTCATGTGATATTTTGATGGTTCATGGTTTGATGAGTGCTGTGATTGGATTAATAATATAGTGAATTTGAACTTCTGCCCTAAGTTAATTCCCGGACAAGGGCTCAGTGAAGGACATATGTTGTTGATAGATGGGATTATGGTAGTAAAAATGTGTATATAATTTTCAGAGATTTGTTAATATTATTTAGAAATTGGTATTGTTTTGTTTTTACTTCTTAAGTGTTGACATCAACATTTGAATATAATATATATTTATACTAGAGTAAATTTACTTTTTTTTTCTTTTTTTCTTTTTTTTTTGTTATTTTTAGTCCATCAATTTCAAGCTCAATCTTGATTCAGTTTTTTCTAAATATTAGAACTTAATGTCTTGTTTGTCTTCAAGTAGTATTTTTTCTATTAATTGTGCTACAATTATATCACTAAGCAAGACATGAGTGGTCTCCCACCACTGTGGTGATGAAAGTGTGCAAGAAATTTCTTTGTTTTATGCTGTGATGTTGCCTCTTCAATTGTGATTTGATAAGCATATCAGCTCAGAGTTGGATGCTTTGTTGAAACACTTAAGTTGTTGGGAAACTATTTTCTTACGGATTTATGTCTGAGGCAATATTGTACAGGGTAGAATGCAGGGGACCCCAGTGTGCTTGAACTGCCTGTGATAGGATATTAAAGGTGAAGGGCATCCCCTCTGTGGTAGGGTGAGCTGCTTGTAGGTATCATGACGGCAGTCTCTAAAATGCGCAACCCTATGGTGGCCACCCGCTGCAGACAAAATCAAAACTTTCATGGTCACGGGGATGTCCCAGGAGAGTGTTTATGACCTGGCTACTAGAGTTACAGCCAGTGGCAAATGGAGAAATAAGTTTATTCTCTTGTAATGTGTTTTAACGAAGATCTAGGTTTTAGTCAGTTGATTGATTAAAAATATGGACCTTTTGAATGTCCCTTTTTCACCAAAGGCCCTTCATTATTCCTGCAGTGTTTGTACCTGGAAAGTATCAAGTATTGTGCGTGTGTGTTCCTTTTGTTACCTGTTTGGAGGCCAGTTAGACTGGCTTTGGTACCTGCATGATTTAAGAGTGTTGGGAGGTGTGCCCTTCACAAGATTA